TCGTCAATATGGTTTTAGACCGAAACGATCGACGGGTGATCTTCTAGCGTACTTAACTCATATCTGGGGTGAGGCTATCGACAAGCGTGGCGAGTCGTTGGCTATCAGCCTTGACATTGCCAAGGCGTTTGACAGGGTCTGGCACAAAAGCCTTCTCTCCAAGCTTCCGGCATACGGTCTGCCAGCCCAGTTCTGTTCTTGGGTAGCTGACTTCCTGCATGAGCGTAGAATTCGTGTCCTTACGGATGGTAGCAGTTCGCGGTTCATGTCAGTGAATGCCGGCGTTCCCCAGGGCTCCGTCCTATCCCCCACTCTCTTTCTGCTGCATATCAATGACTTAATTCCTCTTGGGAATATTCATTGCTATGCAGACGATAGTACAGTGCATGCGGGGTATCTCGGACAAGCAGCGGCTGGGCTGGCGGTAACCAAGGAGAAACGCGAGAATCTTGTCATTGAACTCAATCAGGCTTTGGACCACATTTCCGAATGGGGTACCAGGAACTTGGTTGAGTTCAATGCCAAAAAAACTCAGGCTTGCGCTTTCACGGCAAAAACATCGTCATTCCTTCCTCTTCCATCTCTTCAGGGCACAACACTACCGCTGCAGAGCAACATTTCCATGCTCGGTATGGAAGTTCGCTCAGACCTGAATCCAAAGAACTACATCGAAACCGTGATCAAAACAGCTTCACGCAAACTCGGAGTCCTGAACAAGGTGCGGCGTTTTTTCACGCCCGATCAACTGTGCTTGTTGTACAAAACGCAAGTGCGGTCCTGCGTGGAATATTGCTCGCACCTCTGGGATGGCTCCGCCAAGTACTTGCTCGATGCTTTGGATAGGTTACAGCGACGCGCGATCCGCATCATGGGCGATGAGGAGGTGACTAAACACCTTGAGCCTCTTCAATTACGCCGTGACGTGGCGTCACTAAGCGCGTTCTATCGTCTGTACCACGGCGAGTGTTCTGAGGAGTTATTCTCTCTTATCCCACCTTCTCCTTTCCTTCAGAGGACCACGCGCGCTGGCCTACGTTGTCATCGTCTAACTGTGGCCACAATTCCAACGCGTACAAAGAAATTTGGTGACTCATTTCTTTGTCGCACTATCCGTAAATGGAATGCTCTGCCCGCTCACGTGTTCCCTCCCTCTTACAACCTGGGATCCTTTAAAAGAGGCGTGAAGAAGCAACATGCAGGCCGGCAGGGTGAAGATGGCTGGTGTGGCAGGTAAAACTGCTGTATCAGCTATCGTCACGTCTGGACTTCACCTTCACTTAACATCAGGTGGGGTGGAGTCATTTGTCGGACCTATCTTTAAAAGTCGCACGGATTACATATGAATTCAGATTTCACATGTTCACGAGTGAAGTAGCTAATATAACGGCTTATTAGGCTTATTAAGTCAATATTTCACCCAATCAATGATATTTTTACTAAAGTATTGTAACGTTACACTTCCCTAAGAGTTAAGAGAGTGTAGCGCCAGCTTGAGAGAAAGAATGGAAATATAAAAATTTGGAGGAAAAAAAAGAAGGAAAGAGATAAATATATGGTACAAAAGAGATTATTTATTATGTACAAATCTAACAGTGGAGAAAAAGAGAGAAACTTGAAAACTAAAAGAGCCAACCGCACGCATGCTCACGACGAAAACGCACTTGGTCATAGGGCTAGCCCGCACGCATGTACACGTCCGAGGATCAATTCGGAACTACGAGCACAGCAGAGGTTATGAGCTCAGGAGAGCCTTGGAGTAGCGGCGCGCTCAGGAGTAACAGCGCGCTCAGGAATAGCTGCGCGCCCAAGAGGAGCGGCGCACGGCAGGAGTGGAGGCGCGCTCAGAGGCGGCGGAGCGCTGATGATCAGCGGCGCACCAGCCAAGCCAAAACCACGGCGTATTCCGCAGGAGAACCGGCGATTGGAGACACAGCACGAAAATATGTTTTGTGCGGAATATCGTGGGGCCTTCTTGAGTCCCGGGCCTATGCCAAATGCCCGGGAATGGCCAGAACTACAGCGCTTAGTTTGCGAGTGAATCACAATGCTAGGCGCTAGCGGTTTTTATACCGTTATGTCTGACATTAAATTTTGATATCCGGACGAAAAGAGGGACGAAAGAAGAAAAATAAAATAGAACGAGCCAAAAACAAAAGAAACATTTTTGTATAAAGAAGAAAATGTTTATGTTCTCTCTCGGCAGACATATTATATTAAAAAGAGATAAAAAAATTATAGTGATTGAAACTATTTACATGATGGAGAAAAATTTAAATGTCAAATCAAAAATTCAACTCGTCAAATGAAAAATTCAATAATTTTAACAATTAGAAAATAAAAGTAAATATTTTATATGGAAATGGGAATGATAAAATAAGTATGAGAGAAATAAATAGATATAGAAAAAGAAACACCGCGAAGCGATGAGTAAATTGATGCCGAGAAAGTACCATAGAATTTGTTTTTCTCCATAGTTTAATTTCAAGCCAAATATTACTTTCGAAGTTAGCTAGTCAAAAATGTTCAATAATTTTTAACGGTAAAACAGCGTGTATACAACGTGTATACACGCGTTTTACCTGTTAAAAAGTTACTATATCTCATTTACTAATAATCTTGAGCTTATTAAAATTTTTGATGAAAACTGATTTGATTTGTTATACTTTTTTTTTAATTGATTGATTTGCTCTATGTTTCTCGTAAAATCTGTGTACCAAAAAGACCTCCGGGCATTTACTAGACGGCTAATAGTATCACTTTCATTTTAATAACCGGCTTTGTGTCTTGGAGTTGAACCTAATGTATTGTTTCTTACAATAGAACATCCGTTCTTTGAACAATTACTGTTGTTCAATTGAACGGAAAAGAGAATTACATTGTCTTAAGTTTGTCTTTGTTGTTGTTCTTTCACAAGTGAAAGTATTAAATACGTAGTAACAAGTTCAAATAAATAAGAACATTATAACAAAGGAATTATTTTCCGAGAATTGCCAAAAAGTTTGTTTTGATAAAACAGATTTCAGGACAGTATAAAATACAACATCGGTCACATTGTTTGTATTTCATACCTATAGAAAGCTTCTTCGATAACATTCACATGTCTTTTAAGTCTCAAAATCACAGAACTTTAGCCCTCTATGAATATGAAATAACCAAATTAATTTATCGAATAAACATTAATAAAGAACCACTATTGATATAGAGCTATTTATTTTTACTTTAATTTGTAACTTGTTAATGAAATACACTAGCTATATGAAGTCAATATATCAAATCAAATAACGTTTTTGTGAATAACCATATGTTTTACCATTATCTATGCTAATATTATACACTAGTAGCCCCGGCCTCGCTTCGTTTCGATAGGCTATAAATAAATAAATATTTCCAACACTCACACCAATTAGCCTAGCCCCAAAGTAAGCACTATAAGGCTTGTGTTATGGGATACTAGGGTGACAGATAGAATACATATACTGTACATATAAAAGGATTTTTATATAGAAAATACATATTAAACATCCATGACTGGAGTACAAATGCTCGTATTCATCACACAAACATATCCCGGTGGGGGCACTGGGATTTGAACCCAGGACCTCTCGAGTCGGCGACACCATGAAACCCGGCGTACAAACCACTTGGCCACGGAGGTCGTCAAGTATAGTTTTAAGTATTTTGTTTTAAACACTTAAGACGAAAAATTAACTTATTTTGACAAGAATTCATAATTGTTAGTACGAGTATATTATGATCAATGAACATAACCAAACGATTGAAATTATTTTTCTTAATATAAAAAAAATACGTTTTGTGACTAAGTATAATAAATTGTAGGCATTGTCAAGCTCTACAACTTTTCTCTGGAACTCAATCATTTATAACTCTCTATGTTAAGACACGTTCGCTAAAAAACGTTTTTGTGTTCACTGTTTTTTCTCCGTCTTACTTTGCATATCCGACTACTAGTATTAATTTTTCGGGTCAATTTAAAAACAATGACACAAACAACGTGGCTTCCTATTGGTAAAATAATTTCCAAAATCGGTTCAGTAGATCCAGGGAGTTCCCCCTAAAACGTATTGATTTTTCGGGTTAATATATAGACAATGACACTCACAAACAACGTGGCTTTCTATTGGTAAAATAATTTCCAAAATCGGTCCAGTAGATCCAGGGAGTTCCTCCTAAAACCTTACCATTTTATAATATTAGTATAGATAGACAAAAACTTGTTCAAAAATCCTTTCGCCATTATAAAGTTACAGTGTTCCTGACTGACAAAGGCAAGTTATATAAAATAATATTTTATCGCGTTAAAATAGTGTGTGCCCTTACAAAGCCTGGGCGAATCGATAGTATACTGCCGTTCTTGTGAAAAATGAAGTAAGCAGCTTCGACATGATTTTGAGAAAATGCCGCTTATAGCAATTTTCAGTTTTTTGCGTTTTTTACTAGTTAAATATTTTTTTAAAATATAGATATTGATAACAATATTCTCTACAACATACGTAATGGCTCGATTATACTTGGTCGTTAGCCCGTATTCGAGTGTAAGAAAGACATTAATCGAATTCGGGCACAAGGAGCAATATTTACACTGGAATACGGGCTGGAAGACGGTATCGGGTAATCAAAACGAAAACTCCCCGCCTGTACGCCTGTGGCGTACTCGACACAGTTCATTTACACTTTGTCGTTTACCAGAATTCCATTGGCACTCGTATTCGGACTAACGAACAAGTGTAATCGCGCCATAAAATTCAGTCCTGAGACTGTAAGTAAAGTGAGTAATTTTTTACGTACTTGTGCCACCTGATACCTGAAAATTGGTCCACGGCCCAAGTATACGTTAATTGTACACAATTAATACTACTCGATTGTCCATATTTTGTGCACCAGAAAATAAGTAAGATCTGGCGGCCCTAGGATCTTGGACTTTGCATTTTTGCATATTTTTTTTACAATTTCCAAATATCACATTCCGAGCGTGTTCGCAGAAAGAAGAACGGATCCGGGTGTTGAAACAGAAGCTGGTAGAGCGGGAGGCGGCCGCGGCGGACGGCGGCGTGACGCAAGGTACGGGCGGTGGCGGTGCCGTCTTGGCCGACCTAGCGACCGCCACCTCAGACTATGGCACGTCCACCAACTACACTCGCTCCTCCCGCGCATCTGTGTCTGACCTTGATTTCTCAGAAAGCTACCTCTAATTAAATTTGCACAACCTGACTTCCTTTCAAGAAATAGATGATCCTCCTTTTTAAGAAATAGATGAACCTCCTTTTTACCTCACTTCGTAAAACGAAGATGAACCTCCTTCCAAAAATGAACCTTTGATTTTTTATGAAAATTTAAGAAGCTTTGCCGTGAAATGATAACAATAGTTTGACTGCCTCAAAGTGCGGGCGGCGTCGTGCTGGCCGGCCTGACTATGGCACGTCCACCAACTACACTCGCTCCTCTCGCGTATCCGTGTCCGACCTTGACTTCTCAGAGATCTACCTCTAATATTTGAATTTGCACAATCCAACTTCCTCATAAGAAATAGACGAAATTCCTTTTTAAGAAATAGATAAATCTCCTTTTTACCAATGTCCAAAAACGAAGGTAAACCTTCCAAACGAAGGAGGTTCTCGACTCGACAGAATCTTTTGTTTTTTGTATTAAAATTTATGAATGAGAGCAATACTTTGAAGTCTCAGGATACAGGCGGCGCGTTGTTGGCCGACTTTGAAATTCCACCTCAGACTATGGCACGTTCACTCACACTCGCTCCTCCCGCGCATCCGTATCTGATCGTGACTTTTCAGAGAACTGGCTTTAATTGAATTTGCTCTATTCTACCTTCTTTTTAAGAAACAAACAAACCTCCTTTTTAACCAACTTCCAAAAACGAAAGAGGTTCTCAATTCGTCAGAGCCTTTTTCATAGAAAATTAAGTTTGCCGCGAATTAAGAGCGAAAGTTTGACTGCCTCGTTTGATTTTTTCTTACTTTATGGAGTAGTTGTGAAGTTTAATGAGCGTAACTATGTGCAGGTTTAAGTTTAGTAACATGCCTTCATCGTCCTCCATTTCGCTAACTTCACAGCAGCCATTCCTAGAGGGCTACCTCTTATTGAATTTGCAAAATCCTACCTCCGTTTTAAGAAAATAGGTGAAGATTTGCCGCAAAATTAAAGTGTTAGTCTGATTTCCTCGTTTGACTTTGGCACGTTTATGAAACTATAGTACGATTCAAACTTTACGGCGGTTGTAAAGTTAGCAGCGAACGCAACTATGCGCAGGTTTCAGTACAGTGGAATCCTGCGCGCTTACGTCATCCTACATTTCGTTTACTTCGCCACAACTTGCGCTAACTTGACAGCCGTCATTAAGTTTGGAGCACTCTCTTAGTACCTACAATCACACATCATTTGCTATTATAACTTTAAGGCACACTATAACTTGATACATAGTCAACCTGAACTGAACACATTTTTTTGTCATTTATATAAAATATACATAGAAGCTGCTTCGTGAAGACGATTTGGAGAAACATTTACTATTATTTTTTTATTTATGTCATTATTAAAACGTTAAACTCACTACGGCAGTCGAACTTTTAACCCCTTACGTACTTCATACACACACACAAAATCATGTCACCTAGTTAGTACCTTGAATCTTTTTGCTCAACCGTGACCTTTATAAAAAGTTTAGGTTTATAAAATGCGCCCGTAACACACCTGCCCTTTTCATAAGAACACCGTATTAAATACCGATTTCCACAAAGACAACAGATGAAGTGGGGGCCAAGTTTATTAGAAAGTACTCTCGAGTAGTGCCTTGCTTCGCTACTTACTATGAGGAATTCTAAAGTTATATATAACTTAACCATGTTTACACTTACATGAAGGTGTTTTAAACTTATTTTACTTCTTTCATTTATATCCAAGGCCACAGTGAATCTGACATCAAGATACTATATAAAAATAGGTATTTTAAGTGTTTGATTTTTTTTTGTAAAAATACAGGCAAGTAGGAATAGGAAGAATCAAAACACGTATACCTACTAATCAAACAATCTCGCTTTATCTAAGTTTTAAGATCACATACACAATCTTCTAACTATATACAAATGACCGTTGGATTATTATGTAAAATGTGGAGGAACTTTCCTATTTATTCCATTTCATTTATATAAAGGTAATTTATTGGTAATTTCCGTTCAATACTGATCCGCCTCCTGAAGTCCTGGCACCTTAATGGCTGATATAAAAGCTTGATAAAATTCAGTTAAAATTCTAGATTTAATTTTCGAAACAGGTAAATCTAAGTTAGAGTTAGTTTAATACTTGATTTTACAAAATTTTTTTTTAAACATTCCATAACTTCGTTTAAAATGTCATATTAACGATAGATCAAAATTACTTTGCCACTGTAAAATGTTAGAAATAATATTTTGATATTCAGCCTTATACAAAGTTGATGTTTTTCTCTTATAAATTTTTGTTTAGGTATTCTTAAAAGTCTAGTAGTTTAAGGCTTCCAATATTATATATTTTATCTCTTTTGTTTAACTCAAAAGCGTCGATCGATATAGTTTATTTTAACATAAATTAACTGTTCCAATACTTTTATATGTTTACTAAAGTATATAAAACGCTTTATCGAGGTTTCCATTTGAAGTTTTAGATTGCCAACTTTCAGTATATACCGTAGAGAATCAAAAATGGAATAACTTCGTCCGCACCGGCCGTAGTTTTCAATTTTACCAAGGATATTTAGTCTTAGAACTATGATTTTTAATAGTACGAGGAATTTTAATCTTATTATCGTTTAACGATAATAATATGCGACGCATTGCAGTGTAATATTTTAATTCACTCAATCAATGTTTTGTGTACATATTTATGATGGAACATTATATAGTCAAATTAAGCTTACCGTTGATTAAGCTGCCTGAAACTGTTCACTGTCACGAATTGAGGCTTAATGTTTTCGATATAACATTCAAAATCGATTAAAAGAACTGACGCTTTGTGGTAATCTGATATGCCGTTCGTACTATTTCAATCACCAAGAACGATATACATGAAGTCCATTTTTAGCTTACGATTTTCTTGCTGTTGATTCCATTACAAACGTTCCACTCTTTATAATACAAAATAATTATTGCTTCTTAAGAATATATTACAACTTATACATTTTTGAACGTCCTCAAGTAGATGGACCGAATAAAGAATACTGAGATTATCCTGTTAAAGTGTACAGACTATGACACAAATGTCACCTATCCTATCCTTTAAGGTGGGTACATTTTTTTCCAAATCTTATGATTGTGAAATTATGTTATCTTACATAATATAAATAATATAATATTAATAACTCTCGTATGTGAAAACCTAGAAAAAGAGGATTTTCTACAGACATCTTAAATTTTTCGTGAAACTAGCTCGGCAATATCTGAAACTAGTCGTACTTAGATATCATTTCTGCTAGTTGTAAGTTACAGTCTATTATACTTATGACATTTCATAATGTCTTCGTTAGTTCGGCAACAAATTATCATTAATATATTCGACACTCCCAAATATAGGTCAAAATAACATTTTCTTTTACTTTTCATGATGAACTATTATGAATTAATAATTAAATTTTCACAACTGTTACAAAAGTATGAATTATATGTATGTATAAATAACATTATTTTTATTGGTTTTGGAAGACGATATCTGTCGTCACTATTGAACTACTTCATATAAAACTTGGGGGTCGATGCGCGGGCTATTGCACAAGAATAAATAAAAAAAAATACACATTTCTAATTGAGCATGTAAGACAACATAATTTTATAATTACGAAAAGATTTGGAAAAATAAAATATTTCGACACATCCTACTAACCATAATTAAAAAAATGCATTCTATTATTTACTTTTCCCAGTATAAATAGAATTCTCAGTAGATTATGGAACTGTATCGCATTGTCGTTACCACACGTGATGTCGAACAGTATGAATACGAACCATCGATTTCCATGAAACATATCCATTCCATTCTTCACTTTTGCCCATTATAAATAGAGTTCTGAGTGGATTATGGAACTATTTCACATTGCGCTATCCCCACATGATATCGAGCAGTATGAATACGAACCACCTATTTCCCTGAAAAATATCAATTCCATTCATCACTTTTTCCCAGTATAAATAGTGTTCTCAGTGAATTATGGAACTGTATGAACAAATACGAACCTCCGATTTCCCTGCAATCGGTTCTACTATTTCGCGCGCTGCGACTTGGCGTCAGATCCACTACCGGTACGCGATATAATTCTTTTTCGGTTGTGATTCCCTAGGGCAGGATATTTACATTTCATACGATCGCAGCGGCAAAGAGTTGCTATATTACATACATTCATACAGAAATAAAACTACGCCATAAGTAGGTACTATTGGTGTCGCAACGTTGCTTTGGTCGCACACCATCAGGCGGGCTATATACTTACTTTGGCCCTACTCATATATAAACACATCATCCAAAAATATTCACACACATTAGCTGTAATTTTCTGACACTAAATAAATTTTGATCTTCAATCTACATTTCATAATATATACCATGCTAACGAACAAATTTCTTATAAAAATAAAATGTAATGTTTAATTAAGTAGTGGTTTCAGTTGTTCCATTGTCAATACCTTTTGTACCTCACACACCATGTTGTTATGGACGCACTTGCCAGTGTATTTTGTACCTACCTGTAATTCCTTCTAGACTGATTTAGGAATATACTTTTAGTGATACGAATTCTATTTCTACCTGCTCGAATGTATAAAACCTAGTTGTACTTTCAGTTAATAAGGTAGCCTAAATAATTATACTTCGGTCTAATCTTTCGGATTTAGAATAAGTACACTCAACAACGATTGTTCTTTATGCATTTATACTAACACAAGCGTCTTCAAGAATAACACTTTTATATTTTATTCGCACAATGTTGAAAATTAATAACTACTTAATAATAATAAATTCTAGGCTCAATTTGTCGTTTTAACATAATTTTCATGAAACTGTTGTTTTAGTAGAAAATCAATTCGTCCACTTGCCTCTTTTTCCAGCAAATATAATTATTTTTAGTCGCATAGCAATTTATTATATTAGCGTTAGAATTCATGCAGTCAAATCTCGTTATAACGCTGTTTGCTTTAAGTATTCGTAGTTATTATGTTAAGTCCATTTTTGGTTGTTTACCAAATATGGGGAGAAAAAGATCATTGTTATCACTTTGGGATACACCAAAGTTGAAACAGAATTATAGGTTCGGTATCATTATGGAAACCTGTTGACGCAACGTAAGTAGTTTAAATAGTTCAATGTCTCCCCT